TCTACTTCAGAAGAATCTCCTTGTTCAAACTCCTTTTCCACATGTATCTGTGTAGTCTCTGACTTTTCAGCGTTATCATCGTCTTCTTTTCTTTGTAGCTTATCTTCTACAAAGATAACATCCCTGCTAATGATCACTTTGCGGGCAGTGGGATCCCACAAGCGATACCCCTTTACTCCATCAGCATACCCCAAGAATTTGCATTTCCTGGATTTTAGATCCAGCTTTGAAATTTCTTGGGCGTTTTACATCACGTACACAATACTTCCAAATACATGGAGGTTTGAATAATCAACTGGTTTACCAGTCCACATCTCCATTGGTGTCTTCAGCTCTATTGCAGTTGATGGAGCTCGATTCACCAAATAACAGGCGGTATTAACTGCTTCTGCCCAGAATGATTTTTCTAGGCCTGCGTCCCTCAACATTGCTCTTGTTCTTTCTAACAAGGTTCTGCACTGTGAACTGTCTTTTGATGCCTTCTTTCTTGCAAAAGTCATCAAATTCTTCGCTTGTGTATTCTCCTCCATTATCTGTTCTGAAACACTTGATCTTATTTCCAGAATCAAGTTCCACCCGCGCTTTGAAGTTTTTGAAAGTTAAAAACACGATGACTTCTTAATAGGGTGCACCCAACATCTCCTGGAGTAGTCATCAATAAATGAGACAAAGTATTTTGCTCCACCTAGGGATGTTACTGGTGCTTTCCATACGTCAGAGTGAGCCAATTCTAGAACACTTTTGCCTCTAGAATTTGATGTGTTGAATTTCACCGGTGCTGCTTACTTGTTATGCAATGCTCACACAAAGTAGTAATACCTTTGTTAAGCCTGGAAGTAGCTTTTCTCCACAAGGACTTTCATTCCTTGTTCTGACATGTGTCCAAGTTCTTATGCCATAGTATTGCAATCTGAATTACATGAGGCAATAGAGGCTTCTGCTTCTAACAATGTCTCTCCTTCACATGTACAAGTTTGCACTATCTTTTCACCTTTCAGCACCACACGGATAGCTCCCACTATTTCACTATCGTGAATAGTTCTCTGGAACCTTCAAAGAATGGGTAATAACTTCTTATTTTCTTATGTTGAAGGATCCACCTTTTGGTGGTAACCACAAAGACAAAGTAGATATTACACACTCTAATCTAGCTCTGATACCAATTGTTGCGGAAGACGGCTATCAGATAGAGCAAAATCGTAACTGATAATTTGAGAAAATAAAAATGAAGATAAAGAGACACAAATTTAGTGGAAAACCCCTAAATAATATAGGGTAAAAACACGGGCAAACGGTAGAAGAATTTCACTACGAGAAAAATAGGAATTACAACCTCTCTCGATCTACCAAGGAGAAACAATGATAATTCTCTCTTGATTAAAAGGAGAAAACAACTCTCAAGAAACTCTCTAAATTCTCTAGTATTGGAAGAAAGCTAGAATGCTTTGGGGATTTTGAAGCTAAATGAGCTAGGGTATTTATAGTTGAAGCTTAAGGACTAATTTGTAAATACCCTAAATTACAATGACTAATTGGATAGTTTTACCATCCAAAATTTTCAACAATTTGGTGGCCAAATTTGACCAATTTGCCCCCCATTAATGCCACCAAATTGCCACCCATAATGTGACAATTGATGCAATTTGGTGTGCCAATTTTCAACACATCACTTGTCAAATATCGTAGCAGATATATCTATGACCATGAAATTTTATTTACCTTCAATATGATCTCTATATAATATGGTTTGGTTCGGTTCATCCCTTACCATATAAAAAAGCTACCATAGGCTATCGTATTGGGGCTGAGTTCAGGTACTTCTTCTCTATCATCTAGTCTTGTGTGAATATATGTCTTCAGCTTGGTTAATTATACTGGTTAATAATGGCGGTTTATGCTTCGATATTATCAAAAGGTAAGGATTATTTGATCGGACGTCGATCGGATCTGACTGACAACGACGACGAGAACGATGATCGAGTGAGTGAATTTTGATTGCTTATCAGTGAGTAGTCCATATAACGCCATAACGTACGTCTTTTATTAGAGACAATCCACTATAAAATTAAACCCGAACTCTATAAAATAATTATTATGTAATAGAATAGTGATAGATTTTGAAAGTTCAAAGACCATTTTATAATCTCGATAATCTAATGATCATTTTATACTAATTTGATAAAGCCGAACAACTATTTTATAATTGTTTGATAAATTTAATGTTATTTTATAATTTTTGAAGATTCAATAAAAAAATATTATTTATCATAATTTAGTGATCATTTATATATGTTACTCTAAAAAAATATACGTATGTATAAAAAGATATGAATTAAATTAAGTGTTAATTATAAAATAATTGTTTCTCTTCACCGCCGGCGAGACATACCGGAGACAAATGGCATCCTCTAACTTGAAGACGATGAGAATCCCCCTTCCCACTTCATTAGAAAAAGTACACTTATCATTAATGCCCATCAAAACATCAATTACAGTTGCTATGAAGCTTAAAACAGCTACTGTTCCTCTGCAGGCTTGTTTCTCGCTTTACTATTTTGAAGGACAAAAATGTGATCAGAGATGGGTTTCTGATGGATTCCCTGTTTGCACAATCATTTGTTGCTTAAATTTAGTTATGAACCCAAGATTGTTAAATCGGTATTTACCTATTTTGCTTAAATTTGGGTAATCTGGATATTGTTTTGATAATTGATATGCTTTGATGATCATTTATGTTGTATGTTACGTGTAGCTTAATAGATTATGGATGCCTCTAATAACCCAGAGAGCTACTGTCAACAATGGCATACCATTCTCTAGATGAACAAAATTAACTAAATTTGAACCCGAGACTTTGCTTATGGGGTATCGAGCTACTTATCACTCGATCTAATAGATATTGGTAAGAAAAGTGTGAATATTAATAATTACTGTGGGTGGATTGCCAATTTGATGTTTCACAGCTACTCTGTTCAAGTATTTGATGCACTGAAGATGGTGTTTCCTGATATATCACACTGAATGTGAGTTTGTATGATGTCGGAAGCTACTTTCAAGATCGACGTTTTCAGTGTCCTCGTTTCTTGTTTGAACCTTTGCTCGGTGCTCACTGAGTTCCGGTTTTTTGGACCTCCTTATTCGTCATTAATTCTCTGTCCGTGGTTCTTTTTGGTTCTTCTACTGAAGAAATTGTTTGAGCTTATGCCTGTAAACATGTCAGTGGGAATGATATCAGTATGTTTTCTCGTTCACTGATAGGAGTGATCTACTCTGTTTGAGTAGTTAAACGAGACAATAGACTCTCTTCGTGGTTGATTCTTGGTATTTGTGTCTCGACTCGTGAACATGTTTTCGCTGTTGATCGTTTCTATAATCGGATTGTAGATTTATAGTCTGCTCGAATTCTCATTTCTTAGATGTAAGTAAATATATGAAGAAATATGTTGAATTGCACAATCTGGAAGGTTTCAATAACCATTGAGAACAATAGAAGATTAACATTGCTTTATTAATATAGAACAAAACACATTTTTTTCGATTGGTTCTGGTTGATGAAGTTGAGTTTTAGAGCTACTAAGGCTGATCCCTATATTGCAGACACAAGAATTCTTTTGAGAATCAAGTTTTGTAGAACTAGAATGAATCCTGTGAAACCATTTTCTCGCGAAGAGCGTTGCTTTCGGTATATGAGGAAGGGGAAAGACTTAATCCGAAGGCATTATTTTCTCTTTTGCAGGTGAGGTGTGAGAAAGGACATAAACCGTTAACAAAAGAAGGGTTCAGCTGTTTCGCGAAGAGAGATGATGCAATGTTTAACCGCCGGAGTGTTTGGTCTTACCCTTGTCCCGAAACCGGCCGAAGCTCGTATGAATAGGCTCGAAATGAAGAAAAGATCATGGAGAAGCTTGAGGAGCTTAGGGAGAAGGCTGGGGTATCCAAGCCAAAAACTGAGAAAAATGGGATGAAGAAGTCTCCAACAGAGCCATCACCAAAGGATAAAAATAACAAATCACCAACTTTTCCACTTCCACTGCCACCTCCATAAGGCACGGCTGGACCATTGGTGGAAGCAACCATTAAGAACACGGCTCCGCCGAACAATGCTCCGTGGTGATGTTCCGAGTAAAACGTTTGTCGATGTTGTCAAATACCCCAGAATTTTTAACTTAAGTGAAACTATTGTTCATTGCATCAAGAGATGAATTTGACTTGATTTTCCTGGAAAATGAATGCATGTGTGTGGCTAGTCCTGCATTACTAGACTAGAATATTAACAAACAAAAATTGAAGCCCTAGAGTGGTAAATTATACAAAAGATGTGGGCAGAATAAAGGTGGAAGATGCCGCTGATGCTTGAGTAAAAGGGACGGTGCCCTTTTTGTCGTTAAAAGGAAATACCCACAATCACTTGTTATTCACTCATCTTATCGTCACCTGCCATTAGCCTAACCACGTTCTTCTGGTCATCTTTTCTCACTAATTAACCCACGAATTCTTCGTTGGGTAGGTTCCACGTTGAAACAAAACTATTAGCAACAACAACAATATTAAATTCTACAACCAATTTGTCGGTTTTAATAGGGATAAATATATAACTCCTTTATTTATAGGCAGAGATGAACCAAAGGGTATAGACAATACAATAACTCCTTTAAAAAATTTTAATTTTCATATATTTTTAATAATTTTTTTTATTCTTCTAAAATTTTATAAATTCGTTCTCTTAACATAAAATTTTATCTGTTCATATTTATAAATATAATACAAATCTGGTAATGAAACACACAGATTTATATATTAATTAGAAATTATTTAGAACCCAATTTTTAACAACTTGATGAGGACTAGGGCAGGTGTATATGGTTAGGGGGTCCCTTTGATTTCGGACCATCGCATCATTTCCTCGTAAAGGGATTCCCTTGTGAAATAAGGCAACGAAACTCCTCACTAAAATAAACAAAATAACAAGAGGAAAAGTGCCCTTAAAAACACGTCTCATTTGCCACGTTGAAATTCTAGCTTTGGTTTCCCAATTTTTCATCGAATTCCCACTTCACTTTTTAGCCTTTCAAAGCCTCTGCATGTACCAAATAACGTAGCTCACCGCAAGTTTCTTCTTGATCCCCTTCCTCCTCTTCAACAAAAATTAAACACCGACCATCTCCATCTCAGCCTAAAGTTTTCATAGTTCCCTCGGAAATGATGTCGATCGATCCTCGCCGATTCCTATCGTCGGTGGCCGTTTTCGTCGTGATCACCACCGTGGCATATCCCACCAGCGGATTGGAGTCAAGGAACCTTGATGAGAGCACTATACCAGCAGGTGATCAAGGCGTCAAGTGTACCCCATCATGCATACAAAGTCCTCCTCCACCACCACCACCGTCGCCACCGCCAGCATGCCCTCCACCACCTGCACTACCGCCCCCTACACCGAAAAAGCCGCCGACCCAATATTGTCCACCACCACCTTTGCCCCCTAGTCCACCATCCTACATATACATAACCGGTCCACCAGGGAGTTTGTACCCAGTTGACCAGAATTTCGGCGGTGCAGACCGGAATGTTGCGGTGTGGTTATTGGCTCTGGTTTCAGGATTGTTTCTCCTCCTCGCGCTTTGAAATTCGGTAGGTCCTAGGATCCTGTGCAAGAACTTGGACACATCAAGTACAATTTTCTTTTTCTGTTTCTTCGTAAAATTTCAATTTTAGGACAAGAAAATAACTTTGTCCAAATAGAAAGTTTTAGGACCTACTTGTTGTATCGAGATACTTGTTCAATAATAAATGTTTAGGAACTTTACCTATAATCACCTGATTTTGAATCAATAAATTTAATTTTTTTAATTCGAATCTTAAATAATTATCGATTGATGTTAGATTAAATTCGCTGTTAATGGAGAATAGAAAGCTTTAGCCTCAATGATAGTTGGTCGGTGACGCACTCTTACGTTGGTTTTCAGCTGTGCACATGATATGGTATGATAGAAACCTGCGAGGGACATTTTAATTTTACACGAACCAATCTACTTTGAAATCGTTGTAATTTTTACATGTCATAAGTTCGAACATCAACGATTGTAATAATGTGATTGAATATTTATTATCAAATAATTAAGAATATTTAGATCATATATTATTTTAATTTTACACGAACCAACTTGCTTTGGTAATTAAAGAAATCGTTGTTGTTGTTTTTATAAGATACAAGTTCGAGTACCAACTACTGCAGCAGGATAATTGAACGTTCATTATTAAATGATTTAAAGTATTTAAAATAGATATTATTTTGTAATCATATTAATAAAATCGATATATATATATTATAAAATATTGATTATTGTAAATATAAAATAAAAAAGTGAAACAAAAGACAAAATATTATAGCCATCGGATCAGATTTGATGTTATGATCATAACGTGCCAGACTATGATTCAGTGTAAATGGGAGTGGGAACGGACGAAAAATCGACCTCATTTTCGCCACGAAATTGTGGGTCCCACTTTTTGGTACTTGCAATTGGTTACGTTGACACGTCATCATGCCCCATGCTAGCTCATCGATTTTATTGGCAGAATGCCTTTTGTGGCCCTCAACTTTACCAGTTTATTTATTTTAGCATTTGATTTTTTATAGTATATAGTCTTGTTATTTTATTTTTCAAGGTAATTAACTTGTACCTTTAGGGGGTGTTTAGTTCAAGGATTGTGGGATTCCCACATTCCCATGTTTGGTTGGCCGGGAATCTCATTTCCGGTAATGTTTTATTACTAATAGTAGATTTTTTGGGGTATATTACCAGGAATGTCATTACATCCCTTCCCTTATGTATTGTAACATTACCGGCGTTTTGGACTAAAATGCCCTTAATTTTTTATTTTTTTTCAAAAATATCATTCTTCTGTTATTGAATAATAAAAATTATACGAAGGTTAAATTATAAATTTATCCTTAAATTATTTTAGATTTACAGAAAAAAATCTATAATTAAAATTTTATATGAAGTTCAGAGGTTAAAAAAATTTACCCTTTCATTAAACCTTTTTTATATTTTTAATTTTGTAAAAAAATTATATAAATATTATGAATTTAATTTTTTAAAGAAAATATATAAATATTTTACAATTTGTAATATTATACAAATATATAATAAGGACAATTTGGTCAAATATACATTCAAATAATCTTTTATTCCTTTAACCAAATACAGTAATCTTACATTCCTGCTAATCAACCAAACAAAAAATACAACATTCTCAGTAATCATATTCCCTGGTAATCTTTTATTCCCACTGATAATCTTACATTCCGTGAATCAAACACACCCTTAGAGATATCTCCGGACGTCTTTCAAAACTCACACATTCATTCCTTGTTATCGTACTCTTTAGACAGTGACAATTTTATGATTGAATTTTTTATAATTTTACATAATTCATCAAAAATAAAACATGTTAATTATCATTATCGTACCGACACTAGGCATTCTATAATAGAAATATTTAATCTCACTAAAGATATGATTAACCTCTCTTTCAGATTTAATTTAAACCTCTTGTTCTTTCTCTATGTTATTTCTCCTCTAGAAAAACACGAGTCAACGATCGTCGTCTTATCAACTACAATTCTTCATTCAAATAAAAAAAGATGAACTGCCAACAGCCGACGAGATCTATCCATTAGCATCAACCATGGGTGTAGTTGACATGAACAACTTATTTTCATCAAATATCCGTTTAGATGAACTCTAAATGATAGAACCCATTCCTACCTCTAATCCTCAGCTCAAAATTGGTTCAATGGGACAATTGTCAAAAGGTTAAGGGCCATTGAAGATTGGAAAATCAGTTTCAAAGACTCAAAACGAGAAAGATGATGATCTTTTTGGAATGTATTTCAGTTTCAACTCTGGGGATAATTCAAGTTTTACTCCAATCTACTTTTTGTATTATTTCAATTTCATCCTTTTTTCATCATTAATTGCACTTTTTACCACTCCGTCTTTTATGTACTTTGAAGATTGTTTTAACCTTATTTACACGGGCTCTCAAACCCAACATTGGTTCTGGATTTAAACGTAAACTCGAAAATTGTCATGTCCGATTCACAACATTCTCGGGGCCAATTTTCTCTTTGAAGTAGGAACTCTTCTTTGAAACTGATAAAGAGAAGAAGGGAAAAAAACCCTAAAAACGACAATGTGGACTAAGTTTATTGGTAGTTTAGTTGAGGTTCAATGTAATGTAGGGTAGTTGTTAGAAGCTTGACGAATCTTTTGATAAATAAAAAGGTTGTTTGATTGTATCGGTTACTGGAAGTGTTTGTACCTGACTTTGGTTCTTGGATAATAAATTCAAATTTATCCAAAAATAAAAAGGTTGTTGGACTTAAAACAAATGGTAAATGGGTCCAATATGTTTAATTATCTTATTACGGGATTTAGAACCACGAAGGGTAAAAGGGTCTCGATTTTAAGCACGAAAAATATTAGAAGTGAAAGCGTTCAAAATTCATAATAGCCGTCTATAATAAACTAAAAGTACCTGGATTAACTTGTCTATTTTCGCAACACGGAGGGACGAAATTCATAATTACATAAAGAGATGTACCTACACCTTGCGTGAAGGCTGAGCAAAAACAAAAACAAAGTAAAAAATAATAATTACAAACAAGTCCCATCAAATTTCCGACGGTTGCTGAAGTTGTCTCTTTCAATGATTGTTTCCCAATCAATAATTATCAAAATGAAAATGATTAACTCCACCTGGACTAACACTTGCACCAAATCTATTTCTTAATCTGAAATTGTAAGTGATTATATGTCAAAATGTACATGATACATCTGATTAATTGTAACTGGCTATGATTCCGAAGGTTCAAAAAGATTGGTATTTTCATTTAATCAACGGTGTTAGAGATCGTAATTTAAATTTTATTTGATGAAAAATTATTAAAAAATAATTTAATTATAAATAATTATTGAATCAATCAATGATTTAAACCCGTAATATCAACTCGTATTAGATTTTAATCCCTGATTATAAGATAATACATTGTTATAACAAGTCTCTCAACTATTAAAATTTATAAAATGATCCTTCGACTAGGGATGGGCACGGGTCAGGTTTGGGTTTAGTTTCGGTCAACCAAATCCGACTCGAAATTTTGCATCATCCACCCTACCCAAACCCGACCCGACCTGAAATAATATATTTATCAAAAATATATTATTTTTATTCAATAAAATAGGGATTTAATTGAAAAAAATAATATAGAGGGGTATTATTGTAATTATATCTAAATATGTAAGGTAAAATTATATTTTTTTTTGAGTCAGGTATTTTTCACCCTAAACCAAACCCGACCCCGACTCTGATTTTTTAAAAAAAATACATGACATGATCTGGTCAGAACCCTTCAAGTTCGGCTCCCATGCCCATCCCTACCTCCGACTATAGAGTGTTGTTTTGTTGAGTCTATTTATTAGGTTCATAACTCATCATTTTTCATTAAAAAATAATGATATTCGGAGTTGAACATTAGTCTGCTAATTGTGATATGATAAAATTTGATCTTAGAATCTCAAACGACTATCATATCTTAGTCATCATGTTAACATTTAGCTTATAAAATTGTTAATTTTTTAACAGAAATGGACGAGTTCGAAACATAATGAATAGTCATGTGACTATTTTATAACTTTTAATAGTTGAGGGACTTACCAAAACAACATTCTATAATCGGAGAACCGTTTTATAACTTTTAATAGTCGAGGAACATAATAAAACAATACTCTATAATTAAAACTACTTGTGTACTTTACACTAAAATTTTAATAATAATATGTACATCGGTATATATGTGATGTAAGGGGTTGATTGGTGCATTAAAATCCATTATTTTGGAAATAAGACTCCTAAAAAACATAGCATGCCTTCCCCTGTTATCAGCTAATGTTAATTCTCTGTTTATTTAGTGGGGTAGTATCTAATCTTGGGCAGCCACATTTGCCACCAAAAGGTAATTTTTTTTTTTCTTTTATAAGGTATGCTTTTGTTAAAAAAAAATCAATTTCGATGATAAAAAAATGGTTGAAAGTTATTTTTAAACGAATATTACGTTATATTTACCTTGAATTAATAAAAAAAATTAAAAAAAAAGTATGCTTTTGGATATCCAGACAACTACCACATATTCAGTAGGTTTCCATGTGCAAGTTTCAGCAGCTCTTTCACCACCAAATGCATGTCTTCATTTTTAATGTTATTTTTTTCCTCCTTTCCCTTTCAACACCTCGAAGCATTTTTCAATAAAAACAAGCAATCAATCAATAAATAAAAATGTCAATTTTTATCGACGTATATGATATCACTCTCATGGCTCCTTTACTTTTTCTTCACTAAACCTAAGCCTATCCCCTCAAATTCTGCCTTTTTTTAATGTTCCAGTTTCTTCCTTATGGCCAACACACTCGATAAATATCTCTCCGCTTCCCTTTTCTTCTCCATAATTCTCACCTTCATCGTCCAAACCAAGCAAGACAACCCGTGTCCATATCCATGTTATCCTCCACCGACCGGCCCCGGCGGCAGTACCGGCACGATCACTCAACCGCCTCCGGTTAGTTATCCACCGCCTTCTCAGACAGGAGCACTATACCCTCCACCAGGGACGTCCAACCCTACACCAACAGGGAACTTACCCTATTTCCCACCACCGACACCCTATGGTAACTCTTTGTATGGCCAGCCCCCTCCTGACCCTATCCTGCCTTATTTTCCGTACTACTATCGGAAACCTCCTCACCAAACGGATGATCAGTCACCGGCAACAAAAACCGGCGTTGGAAAACCATGCATGACGATGATGATTGCAACCGCATACCTTCTTGTGTTTATTTATTTCTTCTAGTTTTTTTTATCTCTTGTTTAGGGAATTACTATAAAGCTAAATAAATAAATAAGTTGTAAAGTGTTTTAATTAGTTTGCGTTATGGATGAGATGAGCATGTTTTGAATTTGGTTTAGAGAGTAGCTTCATCACATTTTGGGTTGAGAATGAAGCTAAAAAAAAAAAAAATTCCATATGTATATCTCTCTCTTGTATGCTATGGACTTCGCTTTTCCAAATAAGTTAATATACATTTTGGTACCTGAATTTGATTTCAACAATCAATTTGATACTCAATTTTTTTGTTTTGTTTATATTAAGTATTTGAACTTGGCTTTAATCAATTTGATCTGAAAAAAATAAAGTTCAGGTACTTAATTATAATAATAGAAAGTTTAGATATCATATTGAATAAAATTGATAGGATTTGGGAGAGGTTTTAAGATTTTTTTTAGATAATTCAATAATTCCATCAAGTAAAATGAAAGCACCCAAGCTGCTACAACATATCAAAAAGACCCCCAATTAAGGTAGCTCCCAAGCAGAACACAACCTAATGTTCACCCTATCCCCTTATTATACAAGTATTACCGAGTTTAATACGAACTATCTTTTTTATGCTATCAACAATGAGCTCACTCGACCGAGCAATACCCCTAAATTGCCTAAAATTACGTTATTCTCACACACTATACACATAGCCAACCCAAGCAAGCTTAAAATACAAGTAAGAAGCGAATTACCTTTCCAATTTTCCACCGCCTAAAGCACAAACTTCTCCCAACTCATAGGGTTTAAATGGATCCCATAAAGCCTCAAAATTTCCTACCAAACACCCATAGAAAACCCACAATCATCAAACAAATGATCACAGGATTCAACCGCCATTCCACATAAGCCACAAATCTTATCCGAAACAATATCAAATCAGATAAGTTTATCTTTAGTAGGTAATATATCCAAGCAAGCCATCCTCGCTATAATCGAATGCTTAGGGATGTGCATAGGAAACCAAATAAGTTTATGCCAACTCAGTGTATCCTACATATCATGAATCCCTCCCACACCCACCTACTAGTGATAGTTGGCCAACTAACAACACCATCAAACAAGACCCCAACATACTCCCTCAATCTCAACAATTTCCTCATAATCCAACTAAATCAAGGCTTGCAAACAACAAACCAAAAATCCACACATTTAAAAATATATGCCATAATCCAGGCCACCCAAAGAGTCATTACTCGCAAGGATCTTCTTAATCAACAGCAAGCCTTGTTCCAACCAAGAAGACTCTTAAGGTCCAAACGCCCTTCAAATTTTACAACACAAACATTGTCCCAACTGACCCGAGCCCCACCAGCAGAACAGTCGCTGCCATGCCAAAAAATCTCATGAACAACTGCTCAATTTCTGAGATCACAGATTTGTGGAAAACCAACTGCCTACTCCAATGATTCACTATGCTACAAAGAACAACTTTAATTGACTGCAATCGACCAACATAACTAAGATTCTTACAAGACCATTGTCCCAATTTTGCTTTAATCCTGTCCACCAAAGCAACACAATCTTTATAGGACAATTTCCTTGTGACTAAAGGCACTCCCAAATATCAAACTAGTAAGTGCCCAATTTTAAACCCCATAGCAATCTGGATTAAACTGATTTGGGCCTCGGTCATGACACAAGTAAACATCTCAGTCTTCTCAACATTCAATTTCAAACCAGACAAACCATAAAACAATTGTAAAACACTCAAAACACCCAACACTGAGTCAATGGAGCCATGGCAGAAAATAAATAAATCATAAGTAAAACAAAGGTGAGTAAGGTTTACCTTCCTACACTTCGAATGAAACCTGAAGATACCCTTTAAAGCAGCCTTATCCAAAATAGTAGATAAAACATTCATCTCAAGAATGAATAAATATGGGGACAAAGGGTCCCCCTGCCTGACTCCTCTTTCACCTTTAAAGAGACCAACCAAACTATCATTGAAGGAAATAGAAAACCTTGAAGTAGTAACACAAGCCTTAATCCAACCCCGAAAACAATATGGCAAACCCACAGCTTCCAAAACTGTTAATCGATAGAATCAAACGCCTTATGAAGATCGATCTTAATGGCACACTTAGAAGAAAGGGTCCTCATAGCATACCCTTTGACCAACTCTTGATCCAACATGGTGTTGTCGATAATATCTCTTCCCTTTATGAAAGTCGACTGGCTAGGCGAAATCAATGCAAGAAAATAAACAGCCAGCCTGCTAACAAGGATCCTAATAATTGCTTTATACACCACAGAGCAATAAAAAAATGGGCGAAAATCCCCTAAACAAAAATATTGTTTCAACGATTTATTGAATTGTTTCAAATAAGAATCAATCTGGAAGAATGTAAAAGTTTTAGGGATTAAAGCTTTTGTTATATCATGTCATATTACAATTTTCATTAAGTCAGTGTTTTAAACCCAATATCATATGACCAAAACAGAAATAAAAGGTAACATTAAATATGATTTTAAAAGAAAATTAAATGACTAAAACAAAAATACAGGAATAAGGGAGTGACCAAATAAGTATTTTACCCTAAATATTATATAAATTTTAAGACAGATTAAACTCGTGTCCATGGGCTTTCAGTACCCCAAAAGAGGGAGGCCGAACATTGACTTGAACCATTTTGGTAGCCCCGTGTCTATGGGCTTAGCTTGGTCCATTCCTCCTTGGACTTATTGAATATCCGATAATTAAATGGGTCCTGATTATATCTAAAATTGAATTAGATCGGATTTTAAAGTAAGAGATAGTGTTTAAAGTGTTCAAACAGTTAATTCGATCACTGATCGAATTAAATTTTTATTAATTGAATTAATTAAATTTATTTCTTTAACTGTTGATTGAACCAAACTTTTTTAACTATTAACCAGACCGAATAAAGTTTGGTTATTTTAGTCGGTTAACCGAATTAACAAAAAAAATTATAATTTTTAAAATTTGATTAATTTGAATATAATAGAAGTATTTTTTATTCGGATTAAAATTTAATTAGGTATTAGTAATTTAATGAGTATAGTGTGGTTGAAAAATAATTGGGTCTTAATTCTTAACGAGTTTTATATTACAATATGTATTTAATATATATAATATATTTAATATTTAATAATTTCAATTAATTCAGTTAAGTATCCGATTTCGAACTGAATTATCTGTTAACCAAATATTGAAAAAATATTAACCGTTATCCGACCGAACTAATTCGATGACTGACCGAATTAATTGAACTATTTCCGTTCAATAGATTAGTTCAATTAAAACCGAATAATAAAACCCTCTAGCTAGAGTCTCTTAGAGTTGTTTGTTCCTTCTCAAATTCGAATTCAAAATCTTTCTTAAAAGATATCAGATTCTTTATCATTCAACTTATCAATTAATAAATTTTTTTATCGAATATCTATAAAATAAAAGATTTATTTCATGAATGATTTTATTTATTCGATTCAATAATTTAACCCGAGTGAATTTTAAAATCCCGTTCAAGTATGGTACGTAGTATTGGTGTTGGGGCCATTGCGTGTTGTGGAATGAAGCCACGCACACGAGTGCAGCACCCTATATTTCATGCCTACCTGATATAAATCATGTTTAAATTTATTTTAGGGTAAATTATGTATTTGAACTATCCATTTTAGTACCTAATATTTTAATTTTTTAAAATCATATATAATGTTTAGTTTTTATTTCATTTTAATATCAGTTGTTAAAATTTTAATGAACGTTCTCGCTGGCCGTCGTGTTTACAATCACCAACTGTAGTATCTGTCGATCGATGAAGTCCAAACTTTTCATCCCGCACCTTTTTCGATCCTATAAACGTGATTCCTTCCTCATTTTCACTAGAAAATACATTAATCTCCTCAAATCGACGATGGTCTCTTCGACTTCTTTATCCTCCTATCTCCATCGTTAACCGTGCGATGAGCCTGAAACTGAACTATGTTGGGTGACTCGTCGTTCTCTTGTGGTCCCATCCATTAAGTTTTTAACAACAAAGTACTAAAATGAAACAAAAATTAAATATTATATATAATTTTGAAAAAAAATTGAAAGTTTAAGTATTAAAACGGACCAAAACTGATAATTTAAATACTAAATGTATAATTTACCCTTTATTGTAATATATTCGGATTTATTCTTAATATTAAAAATTCAAATTTTGATTTGATATCGAACTTCCTTTTCACCTATACTGTCCCTACCTTGGTTGGAATTCTTATCCTTTCATCTTTATTTTTGTGCTCTTTCTTCTTTGGCTTCAATGTCATCATGTAGCATGGTATGGGCATGCCTACACATGAAAACTTCACCATCCACTTTTAGTCACATTAATGCAGGGACGAATTCATAACATGATCTCGATTTTCCGTTCATGGATGGCTGCTTATGTTTGTCCGTACTGTATTAGTTGACCCCCGAGTCACATGCTCCGTCCGATCATGATCGTGTGGTCATTGTCCTTTCTGTTTGGATTCATCTTAAATCTTAATTGTCTTTGATTCCATAATGAAGATACAGAGAATATAGTAAATTATGTCATATATTAATTAGTTTTATTTGTTATATCAACTTTATCATTGAAATATAAATTCATATAATTTTAGCATTAAATTTTAATTTTACATATAGTTATATTATTAAAGTATTAACTATGAGCAATGAAGCCAATTAAATAGCAGTGTTTTGAAAATCAGATCAGACCGGTCGGTTCAACCGGTTCAATCGAGAACCGCTGCCTGGTCCAATCAATTCTAACCCGGTTGAACCGATTCTAGTGAACCGCAAGGAATCGTTCGAACCGGCTTTGAACCGCTTGAACCGGACCGTGAACCGGTTCAACCTAAATTTTTTTGATTTTTTATTAAATGTTTTTGGTATTTTTATTTAATTTTTTAAATAATTATGACGTCGTCCGATTTTTACAACCGGTCTGATCGGTTCGGCCGGTTGAACTAGTGAACCG